ATCCTTTCCATATATTCGGGACCAAAATTGGACACAGTACTCCAGCTGAGGAGTGACCAGCGCTGAGTAGAGCGGTCTTATCACCTCCAGTGACTTGCATGCTACGCCTCTGTTAATGCAACCTAAAATTGCATTTGCTTTTTTTGCAACAGCATCGCATTGCTGACTCATTATGAGGTGGTGATACACCACAACTCCCAGATCCTTCTCAGCAGTGCTGTTGCCAAGCCAGATATCCCCCACTCTGTATTTGTACTTTTGGGTTTCTTCTGTAAGTGTAACACCTTACATTGTCTTTGTTGAATCTCATTTTGTTGTCTATAGCTCAGTTCTCCAATTCATCAAGATCCCTGTGAATTTTAGCTCTATGCTCCCAACTATTGGCAACCCTCCCAGCTTTGTGTCATCTGCATACTTGGTCTGTATGCTCTCTATACCTACATCCAGGTCATTAATAAAGATGTTAAACAACGAGACCCAGAACAGATCCCAATGGAACCCCACTTGAGACCTCGCTCCAATCCGACATCATTCGATTAACAGTTACTCTTTGTTTGCCATTGTGTAATCAATTCTGTATTCTCTTAATGGTAGTTCTGTCGAGCCCGCATTTCTCCAGCTTACTTATCAGAACGTTATGTGGTACTGTGTCAAAAGCCTTGCTGAGGTCCAGGTATATTACATCCACTGCATTCCCCCTATCCACCAAATCATTTACCCTGTCAAAGAAGGAAATCAAGCGGATTTGATTACACCTTCATTCTCCAAGTATTCACAATTTGAATATTTCATACATTGCTCTAGTTGCTTCCCAGGTAGCAAAATTTGCAGATGATACAAAACTACTCAAGATAGTTAAGTCCCAGGCAAACTGCAAAGAGCTACAAAAGGATCTCACAAAAATGGGTGACTGGGCAACTAAATGGCAGATGAAATTTAATGTTGATAAATGCAAAGTGTTGTGAGAGGCTACTGGTGTGGTGCTTCTGCTTTCTCCTGTTGATATCACTCGGCTGCGTGCGTGTGTTCCCTCTGTGTGCTGCCCCAGCTCTGCGCAGATAGCTGACACAGCAGACCCAACGAGAATCCCCAATAACCACAGAGTCTACTAAGATACAAAGGCACCTCGGCCAGGTTTATTGCGATCTCGGACACAATTGCAGTTCCCTGTAGGTTTCTGAGCCTAAATCAGGGCATACTACGAGAAAAGTGCCTCTTGGCAAGGACCCGGCTCAGTGGCGGGACTTTCCACTGCCCCCGTGGCCGGACAAAGACACCACTCCAGGGATACATTTTTATAAACAAGTTACACATCACTCCTGACGTATTGAGGTGCAACCCCTCTACGCAGCAAGGTACAACCCCTTCACGTAGTAAGGTGCCGCCTCGCACCTTGTACCTGTTGGTTCGATCAAAACAACTCTATCCATCATTTTACCCTTTTGCCCCTGTCATTGGGATGGGTTGGTCTGTTCCCTGTTATCTGTGGAATGTTCCGGTTATAGTGTATCTTGGTACCATGTTTATACTGTAACTATGCTAAATGAATATATATTTATGCAACATCAGCCCTTTTCTTGCCAGCTTCTGTGAGCAGGGCCTGCCTCTTGCTCACAGCTTAACTTTGCTTTATGTTAGCAAAGTCTTGACCATTACTTTAGTTTGGTTCAGGCCTCAGGCCTCATACTGGGCCTTCATTAGGGCCTTCACTTACTACAATGCACATTGGAAAACATAATCCTAACTATACATATACAGTGAGGAGATTTAAATGAGCTGTTACCACTTAAGAAAGAAATCTTGCAGTCATTGTGGATAGTTCTCTGAAATCATCCACTCAATGTGCAGCAGCGGTC